CTTCATGTCAGGCTACAAATAAATTAAAGGACTCTCAAAGAGAGCCACAATGAGAAAAGACAGTTCAGAATTAACTCAAAAGAGAAGGATCATATACACAAAGATGTGTATAGACCAAATGACACCAGGTAAAATTCAGCCCTTTGTGGTAGTCTAGACAAGAAGAACAAATCATGAACATTAACACTATATTGATTGTAAGAATCTTGCAAGTCTGAAAGTATTTCTTTCCTCCTTTATGTTTAGTTTGCAGAAAGCTAGGGAGACTCCCTTCTGAACCATTTCCCATGCTCCCTTTTTTTTCCGGTGGGCCGAGATACCTTTTGCATGATGGTTGTCTAAGCCTGTGTCACTTCCTCCTGCCTTCCAAGGTCATTCCCAGATCAAGCCAATCACCTCTGGAAAAGACAATCTTTGATAGAATTCTGGATTTCACAACTACTCTAACCAATTTCCCCATTACAAAATGCAGTTCACTCTAAATATTTATGCCTGTGTCCATAAGTGTGTGAATGAAGGAATAACCATAAAGAAGATTATCTTTGAAGGATCATCTCATTCCCTGGGTACCCACCTATCCATGTGCTACCATCTGAGATAAGGTAGATGATAATTTCTAAAAAAGCATTTTTTATTGTGGACCTCAGTCGAGGAACGCCTTCCGTAGAGAGACAAATTTTCTGCGTGTTTTCTTGATATCTCGGTACCAGAGAAAGTTTTTTTCCCATGAAAACATTCCCAAGATAATTCTAATATATGATTTTCCATTCTCATGATTCCCACAATTGTCTGCTGGCTGTGGATACAGAGAAATGTACCCAGAAATAATATAAACCAGTACAAAAGGAATGAATAATTGCAAGGAAGAATTCAAGATAGGTTTGTTATTTTGTCTGCATTCTCTTGTTCTGAATTACAGCTTACATCCTAGGAGACTTTGGACCAAGCAGCAAGTTTTAAGCAAGGATTTCTTATCCAGCAAGAACCCCAGTCTAGGAGGAGGGTCTTTCAGTCCTCTGTAGCAAAGTGGAATTTTAGACAGAGGTAAATAGGAAATCAACTACTCATGAAACCAGTAGTTTCCAACAGGAAAAGAAGGAATTTAAAAAAAAAACCTGTACTATGTTTCCCACTGAGGAATGGAATACTCACATTGACCCGCCCTGAGTCTCTGGAGAGGGGCGGCATATAAATTTAATAATAAATAAATAAATAAGACATTTCATGCTCAACTCCTTCTCCTATTACCTTTGTTTGCTTTCTTTGTCCTGGTTTTACAATGCTATGGAGGTGAAGGTCTCCTTCACCAATTACACATCACTAAACTATCACCCAGTGGCAGAAATATCCCAAACATCTGAGAAGAACCTGCTAAAGAAATCCAAAACAAAAGTATTCCATGCTTAATGTCCACTCATTCAGTAACCATTACAATGGTGCTGAATGAGGAGGATTTACAATAGGTGCAGCTGTTGAAGAAACCCCTTCACCCACAATGGTCTCATGATCACAATAAGGTGCTTGGCAACCAGATCAAAATTACAGTGTCATAGTGTTCTGCCAAGCAAAGTCAATGAAGAAGTTGGCAGGAGATCCAAATAATGACCACCTGTCTGGGTGTTTGCTGCAACCCCGCAGAATTCAGTTAATGACTGCGACTGCCATAAATTGGACCAGTCATGTGACATTGTACCTTATGCCTGAGTCACTTAGTAATGGGTTTCTGGTTCCAAAACAAAGACTTCCGTTCTCTTCACTCAAGGAATACCTTGGTAGGGAACATCAATCCCAAAGATGAGTTGAGATGATGTATCAGGGCTGAATGCATTTTGATTCAGGCTGAATTTTTGGAAGTCTTCCTGTTGTTTTATTTCCTTCTTTCCCTATCTTTAGTTCCCAACATTGGGAGAAAGCTTCAAAGAAAAACAGGCTCAAGAAAGATGTGAATCTACATATTTTGCAAAGAGCAAACGTTTTCTGGAACCCTTAATCAAGGAGTTTGAGCTGGTTCTGAACTCCCCCCCCTTTCTGAACTGCCCTCCCTTGAAAAAGGAGGAAGAAAAATGCTATCAGCAAACATTTGCAACCCTCTATGTATACTGTCTATCCCCCCTTATATGTTTCCATACAGTTCTGAGATATTGGCAATTATTATTTAAGTCAAAAGGGAAAAAGAAGAATAATTTACACCATCCATCATTGTTTCCTTGTATGAATAAATTACAAGACACCGCAGCAAATCAATTGTGGGGAAAGAAACAGCCCATGCCAAACACCGTGCTTATGTGTATAATTTCCTTAATGTTTTCCATCCTCATATATCAAAAATACAGAATGAATTTGGCAAACCTGATGCAGGAGAAAGCTCATTATGCCAAAGTCTCGCAGCCAGACCACATAATAAGAGAGAGAAAAAAGGGAATATCTAATCCTCTAGAAGTAGCAATAAGATCTTTGGGGCCTGATTGTCCTTCCCAATTTCTTTTCCGAAGAGGTTCATATTGTAGAAAATAACTTCTTACGTGATGAGATTTAGAACTTACAATTTCACAGTTCATGGTTTGTCTAGGAACTTTCTTAAGCAATGGCCGATTCAAATCTACTGGAGGCCATATGTGAAAAGCTGCTTTCTAACAGATCAGATTTTCCATCTAAACCAGTATCGCCAAAAGACCGGCTCCTTTGAGTCCTTTTTATTGAGAAATAAAAAGATTTCTCCCATCCCCTGCCTCATCTTTTTTAAAACACTAAAGAAGCCAAAGATTACTTTTGAAGGAAACATGTCCATTTCTGTCAAGCTGCAGTCCTCACCCCATTCCTAAGAGATCTGTAAGGGGCGTGCATAAGAGCACCAGCATGCCTACCATCCCTGTCCTAACGTTTCCTCTATTTGTATCTATTTTATGTATTCAATTCATGCTTATACTTATATTTATTACCTAATATGTTCTTGACAAATAAATAAATAAAATAAAATAAATAATACATCAGTGGAATCCCACCCCTTCCAAAGTTCTGAAGTGGGAGATTAATAAAAAGTATAGGATAATCTCTAAAATAAACTTCACCTTATCAAAAAAGCAGATTCTCTCTCCAAAAATTCAGGAATAATCTTAGTCTAACTATATCAATGACCCAGTTTCACATGCTTGGCATGATTCTGTCTCCACTGAAGCATCTCATTCCCCACAAAATGTCCTATGGTTTCTGGCCATCAAAAGTTGCCTATCCCAGTTAGTATGAAAGATACATTTTGGTAGACAGTGTTTTTCAACCTTGACTATTTTTATATGTGGACTTCAACTCCCAGAATGCTGGCTGGGGAATTCTGGGAATTGAAGTCCACACATCTTAAAGTTGTCAAGGTTAAGAAACACTGTTCAAGAGTCTTTACTAGACTTTACAGCATACATTCTTTATGCATTTACAACACTACTTCTACCTTTGAAGACTGAAGAGAAAAAACTCCAGAGATGATTCCATTTTGCCAAAATACAGCAATCTCATGATTTACAGTGAGATTACACTCTTTCCAACACCTCTTACATATTTCCTGCTAATACTAAATCATACATCACATGCACATTAAAATTAGGAGATAATTTATGCAAGGTGTATCAGTTAATATTAATCAGCTATTAGGCATGCTCAGTTTTGAGTTCTGGGGATATTTTATGGCTCTTTAGAACAATAGGTTCCTGTTTTTCAGTTCAGTTTGCCTTTCCTGTTATCTCATTCAGTTATCTTTCCCTAGCTAGCCATTTCCTCTCACAGCTGTTTTTACAGCTTATATTCTTCCTTTTTCCACTTTGAAAACCCAACTAATTTTTGCCTATATGTCTATCTTACAAACTGCCTTTATTTTCTACCATTTCCTCACTCCTATCCATTGTAGTTTCTTTGTCAGGCTTGTTTCTCCACTCAGTAAGCTTCCACTACACAGCAGGTTCAATTTAAAAATTTTCTTTCGATATTAAATTTTGAAGACCATTCACTTTTTCCTATCACCTGGTACTCAACTGCTTTGAAACTCATCAAATTTGGTACTCAACACATTCTGATGTGAAAATGTTGTCCCGGTACTTATTGTTTGTTTGGTACTGAGTGCATAAGCTAGAATCTGTTCCTATTGTCTGTCTTGTGATTCACTACATTATTCCTTAGAGGAAACATTTGTTTGGTGCTTATTATTTTTGGTACTCATTGTGCCTCCTGGAACCAATTAATGATGAGTACCGAGATACTACTGTACAAGATTTACAATGTAGAAGTGCCCCAGACATTTTCCTCTTCTACAAGGTATCTTACCTTCAATTGCAGGTAGAAATAATAATCTAGCAACACTTTTTGTTGAGAAAATTTGCACTGATTCTTCTGTTGTTTTAAGAAACTTCAAAAAAACCTGACTAAAAAAGAGAAAGCAGTCCAAAGATAATTATATATACGCTCCATAATTTGACTCATTTTCATATGAAGTTTAAGGTAAAGGTAAAGTTTGCCCGGCACATGCATGCTAGTCATTCCCGACTCCATGGGGTGGTGCTCATCTCCGTTTCAAAGCCAAAGAGCCAGCGCTGTCGGAAGACATCTCCGTGGTCATGTGGCCGGCATGACTAAACACTGAAGGCTCACAGAGCACTGTTACTTCCCACCAAAGTGGTCCCTACTTTTCTATTTGCATTTTTTATGTGCTTTTGAACTGCTAGGCTGGCAGAAGCTGGGACAAATAACAGGAGCTCACTCAGTTACGCGGCACTAGGGATTCGAACCGCTGAACTGCCTATCTTCTGATTGACAAGCTCAGCATCTTAGCCACTGAGCAACCACGTCCTTCATATGAAGATTATATTGCTGTAATTTTATAACTATTGGGATATGAAAATATTTGTATTTCTTTCTTTCTAAAAGAGAGCCCTATTTTTTATGTTAACCACCAATAAATCACAACCAAGAAGTGAGTCCATTTTCCACATAACAGAAGGGTCATTCCAAAGGCTTACCATGTGGTGTTTCTGATTGTGTGGAGAGGCGGTGATCTGTGGCATCCAGCCATGTGCCAAACTGGGTGTTACAACGTTCCTGCAATCGGTGTGAGATCCTTGGAAGCAGGGTATGAACCCATCCTGAATTCTCTGCTGTTGAACAACAACAATAACAACAAAATATCTTATTACTGTAAGATAATAAATATCCAATCTTACAAAGGTGCTTTTTCAAGAGGCAACTGGACTTAAATGATTTTATAAATGATTTTATAGGCACCAATTCGAAGAAAAACCAGGTGCCTCTTGAAAAAGCACCTTTTGGACAACTATAATCTAGATGACTGAGAATCTCCATAGACATCCAATCTTACAGAAAATAGCTGTAGCAATAGCAGTTTAAGTTCATATACTGCCCCACAGTGCTTTATAGCACTTTCTGGGTGGTTTAAAACAAAGAAGCATTTTCTGCATATTGTCCCTGACAAATTTGGATCCTCATTTTACCAACCTTGGAAAGATGGAAGGCTGAGTCAAACTTGAGCCCCATCAGGATTAAACTCCAGGCTGTGGGTAGAGTTTGCCTGTGATACTGCAGTTTAACCACTGTGCCACCAGAGCTTGTTGTCAAGCTTTATTTTATTTTATTTTTTTGTATCATAACTTTGTTTCTAAGTTATGTTATCTCAAATACATCAACAGCCTGTGGCTCGAAGAGTTCTGCCTCAGTTTTCACAGGGGCACAGATTGTTCAAATTGATATAGTCAGTGTCAGAGGCTGACACAGATAATAGTTCATGAGAGAATAAATGTTAATGTAGACTAGCATCATGAAAGAAAGAAAACTGGTTTGCCTATTAGAGATAACGAGAGGCCCCATTTCACATTTGAAACCATCAGTCCTACCAGACTAAGAAAACAATGCCATGAAGATCAGAATTACTTTTTTTCAAGTAGTCCTTGACTTTTGACTCCAATTGGGACCAGAATTTCCATGGTTAAGCAAGGTGGTTGCTAAGTGAGCTGCAGTTAATTTTATGATTCCTTTTCCAGGCTGTTAAGCAAAACATTGCAGTTATTAAGTGAATCAGGAGGTTGTTAAGTGAATCCTTTGCTTGCTGGAAGATGGCTGGGAAGGTTGCAGATGGTATTCATATGATCCTGGGGAGCTGCAACCATTGTAAATACATGTTGATTGTCAAGCGTCTGGATTTTGTTCTTGTGACTATGAAGATGGTTATAAGTCAAGGCTGTTATCTGTACTGTTACAGCCATAGTACAAAATCGTGTAAGTCTGAATGTACTTCTTCCCTTCCTTTATTTCTGTGTGAACTAGAAAGGGGCTTGTCTGAGATATTTTCTGAAGTTAATTTCTTGGTCTGGGTTCGTACTCCTTTTATCTGAAAGTGATTCTTCCTCTTGTCCTACATGCCATTCCCGCTGCCCTCTACAGAAACGGCTGTTCTGACCAGTCCAGAAACAACCCTGAATGATAAATGAGGGTCTGAGCTCTAAAGATACTACATATTGAGTTCAAAATATTTCAAATGCTACATGTTTTGCACAACCTGAATGCACTTTGGGAGAAGATCATGAGATGGGAAAACTCAAGCAAAGGGGATGCTATGTAGGCAGAATTCTGAAAAATAACAATAGGTGGGATTAAAAAAAATATTTCAAAGAAAAAGTATGCAAGATTATAGAGACAGTAACAATTCAAGATAATCATGTATAGTAGTGTGTGGTAGGGGAGATGAATAAATATCAGGCAATGGAGTGCTAGAAAGATTGCTCAAAACACAATAAAATTTAGGAGCTTCTTTTCTGAAGTGGAACAAAACAAAAATTTAAGTTTATGGGAGGTTGACTGTGTGTGTGTGTGTGTGTGTGTGTGTTTGTGTGTGTGTTTACTTCTGGGATCCCACTCCCTCTCTCCCCCCTTCTCTCTCTCTCCCTCCCTCCTTCCCTCCGTTTCTGTGTGTATGCCTAGGAGGAAAGGCAGAAAGAAGAAACTTCACACCAGCAATCTCTTAGATGAAGAGAAAACTGAGTGTAAGTTCTTAATTCTTTGTCGATACCCTTCTGTCTTCTTTTTTCCTTAAGTTTCATAAACTTTATTTAATATTATCTTAATTTAAAATACAAATGAAATTAAAGACAGGAATAGGAAATAGGGAAATAGGGAAAGAAGACAAGGGGAAAGTGATTTGAGGAAAAGGAAAAAAAGCAGTGGCTTCAAAAAAATTTGCTGTTGTATAGGACAAAACGGACTTTCTCTCTCAACTTTTTACTTTTATTCAATTACTAAGTACTAGCCATTTCTATAACAACAAGCTAATCTAATTATCAAAACAGTCAAAATTACATTTTTTCTGTTTTGAGCACAAAGTCTACAAGCAGTCTTTAAGTAGAAAAAAGGCTAGATACATTCTTTTTCTTAATTAAAACAATTAATTTTGTTATCTCCGTCAGTTCCATTCCTTTTTCCATCAATTTCTTCCATAGTGGGAATTGACATATCTTTCCATTTTGGCACATATAAAATTCTCACTGAAATTGTTTAACATAGATAGTAACAAGGTTCAATTTGTCCCAAGATGTTTATCCAATAGTGCTAAGAGGAAAACTAATAAAAGTCTGAATACAATATATTTTTCACCCATCCTACTAGCATCTAACTATCTGGGTGGAAGAATCCTGCTACAATTGTGCTGTAGATATTCAGATGATGAGTCCAATAAACAGTAAGACTGACTTTCACCTACTAGACTTTTAAATTTGTTTTATTGAGTTTTCACAAATTAAACTTTTCTTATTCACTTCTTGTGCATGACTGTGATCATTTACATATCATCACACTACAATTCACCTATACTCTGTACATTTTTACTAAATCTACCATTCTATTTTGTCTGTTTTTTCCCCATTTTTCTATTTTCGATCCAATTGTACCATTTTCGTAAAAATCTGAGTCCATCAATCCTTTCAATTCAAGCGTCAATTTGTCCATTTCAGCGCAATCCAATACTTTTTTAATTATTAAGTCTTCAGAGGGTGCATTTGTGCTTTTCCAACATTGCACAAAGGCCAATCTTGCCGCAGTTGTCATGTGTAAGATGTTGGTTTTTTTTCCCATAATTCCTTTTCATTATTCCTAAAAGAAACAATTCCGGTGTGTATTCTATCTGGGAGCCTGTTACTTCCTGCATCCAACTATGTATTTTCATCCAATATTTTTGTTTCGGAGCATAACCACCATGTATGAAAGAAGGTACCTTGCTTTTGTCCACATTTCCAACAGTTGGGGTTTAAATTTGGATATATTTTTGCCAATCTAGAAGGTGCCAAATACCAACGATAAAACATTTTGTATTGATTATCTTTATATTTTGACGATCTGGTTAATTTGTAATTTCCATTCCAAATTGTTTCCCAATCCTCTAATTCAATATCATGCCCAACATTTTTTGCCCAAGCTATCATAGCACCCTTTACTATGTCTTCAGCTCTATCGAATTCTAGTAGATAGTTGTAAATTTTGGTAATTAATTTTTCATCCCAGCCAATCAATATTTTATCCAATTGTTGTGGCTGCATTTCAATTCCATATTTATCTTTATCTTTTATATATTGTGATTTTAATTGCAAGCAAGGCCACCAATCTATATTTATTCCCTGTTCTTCCAATTCTTGAGGTTTCTAACTAGTTCTCTTCCTTGTCAAGAGGCAAAATTGTTCACTTAGTATTAGCTTGCAAGTAATCTGAGTTTCAAAAAGGATGTTGGGGCAATCCTCTCCATAACTAAATTAAATGAAAGTGTGACTCTAAGCAGGTGGCAGCTTTGATTTGAGATAGTAAAAAGTGAAGGGTTGACACTAAAGGGAATTAAAGGACTGATTTCACTTATTGGAGTACATTTATTTCAACCCTACATCCATTAAGGGCACTATACTGACAGTGCACACAAACCTTTTAAACTGAGAAATTGTAGGTTCCATGAATTCTAAGGGACTGGCTTTGTCATTATACTGATATAAAAATTCCAGGAAGCAATTGATTTGAAGAACCCTTCATCACTTCACTCTTACTAGATAAAATGATACATACTTCAGTGCTAAAACAGAAACCAAATGGCATGAGGACTCTGGATTGATAAAAAAAAGAATATCTGAAAAAAAGACATTATAGCAGTCATGGATGAAGGCATACTAATTAGCAATGGAGCATCATGGGCTTCCTTCTTGGAAAGTTTCTAGGAAATTAAAACTGGGCCTTCACAACTCATGATTTCTGAGGTCCAGTAGAAGGCATCATAAACTTGCCAGCTTCTCCTGGAATTGCATGAATAGGACATTTATCAAATCTTTGATGGGCTCATTTAAAAGTTGCCCTAGCTCAACAGAAAGTTTTTACATGACATATTCTGTTGTGTATATGTCAATGAGTAGAGAAGATTTTGAGAATAGAACCAGAGAGATTCATCTATGGAATCTCATTCGAGGATGCTAAACCAGTCACTCTGTCGCAACACAGCCTATCTTGAAGGATTTTACAGGGGAAGAAAGTGCTATATTATGAAAGGCAAGATATAAATCTAATTAAGAAATAAAACCACACATACCCATTCATCACTTTCCCCAATATGAAAAAAAAAAAATTCTCTAGGACAGGGGTGTCAAACTCAAGGCCCACATCCGGCCAACAAGGTGCTTAGATCTGGCCCACAGGGCTGCCCTGGAAACAGCAAAAGACCAGCCCATGGTCCAGTGAAAATGGAGACCGGGAGGGCTGCGCATGGCCCTCCTGGGCTCCGTTTTCAGCCACAACTGCCTCCTGCAGTCCTCTGCCAGTGAAAACAGGGCTGTTTTCGCTGGCAGAGGGCTGCAGGAAGCTGTTGCCACTACAAACAGGGCCTGGGGGATCCTGTGCGGCCCCCCCAGGCTCCGTTTTTGCTGGCAGAGGGCTATCAAAACAAACTAAAAACAAAACAAAAGGAGAAATGTTTCCCCTTTTGCATTTGAGCATACAAGAAGGGACAGGAAAGGACAAAGAGAAAGAAGAAAGACAAAGAAAAAAAAAGAAAAATGGGAAAATAACAAGGAAGGGAAAATAAGGAAAGGGGAAGGAAGAAGAAAGGAGAAGGAAGAAGGAA